AGTTAGACCTAAGACATCGAGAGTCACGCAGACCTATAACAACCCAGCCACAACACATAATTGCGAATAACATGCCTTACCTTAACACAGAATCGGCCACAGAGTCCAACGTTTATATTTTTTCTACGAATCTTTGAGTTAACATGTACTAAACATGAGTGGAATTTGCACCGCAGCGCCCCCACACCTTGATGCTCATGACAAGAATAGCATGTATAGTTATCTTTATTGAAGTGAATTAGGTTTAAATCGCCGTCATGCATGAATGAATGATATTTTTGCAATTTTACACATAATAATCCACGATGATCACATTACACAAAACTGAAATTGCACGTCAAAATAACACGTTGTCAATATTTTTTGAGACCCCCCAAAATTTCACAAATCACGTTTTCAGGGGAGCCCATGTCTTATTAAGGGGAGCCGAGCTCCCCCTAGCTCCCCCGTAGTTTGCACCCTGAATGTGGGTAACAAATGTTAACATATTGAACCTTATTGAAAAGTGTTACGAAAAAAGAAGGTAATTTGATGTTAGCCACTTCTGTCCTCAGAAAAGGTAATTAAGCATAAAAAACTTTCTGAATGAGATCTTTTTATGATTTTTATACATTTTATGACTTATATAATTGTAATGACAACAATGTATATCAAACATTTTTTAATTCTTGAATAATTATTTGTGTTTTTAGATATGCAAGTATTATATTATATTGTTCTTGTATATATAATATAATATAACATTTTAATTCTTGAACAAGTAATGAACCTAAAATGTATACTTTCTCTTATAAACGTAAAAAATATGCATGCACTAACTACAAGGCTATGTCTCTGACAGATCTCAATCTGATTAATTAATTAATTAATTAATTAATTAATATAGTAACTATGGTATTTTGGTGGAAACTATGCTTACCATGTTTTTTTTTTGTAAGGGACATACATTTTGATCTATTTTGTAATATCTGTGCTGAAAGAAAACCCTTTCCTCCTATTCATCATGCGCAGATGATACGTTCACAGATCTGCTTTGTCATCATGTACACTGTATGTATTGCATGCTGTGTGATGTATTTGTGTGATTTAAACGCCTATTCTGTGGGTAGACAGATTAGTATGATATTAAATCGCTGTAATTTCAGCCATAATATAGGTTATGGATTATATCAAAATAATTGGCTTTGTATCACATCACTATATTGTAAATGTACTTTTTGATGCCATACATCTCATTGCCAAATTCTTTTCCCGGTTCTCGCATGTTTGAATATGGGTTTCCTGCTGTCAGTGGTTTCGAAGACAGTTCTTTTTCTTCTCTTCCCTTTGGAATCCATCTTTTAACAAAAATACAAAATGGCGCAGTCGTGCTTTTGTGAGATAAAGCCGAGCTGTGCTCGTCAAGCCGTGAACTCTGGGGGGGACACAGAAAGACCATTAGACTAATAGGATTACTGTAACCACGTTCTAACGGAGCCGTTTCAAGCTCGCCTGAGAATGGGGAATTTCCTGCTGAGGAGTATTTTAGGAACTCCCACATTCAGTTGAGGGGGGGAAGTGGATTTTTTTTTCAAGATGCTTTTTGGGAGTGTATGTGTGTTGTCTGTGTGGTTTTTGTTGTTGCTTCACAGGAACACTTTCCCCCCTCTTAGCCATGTTGTCATATATCATAAACACAGGCCACAGTTCCCACAGAGAGAGAGTGGACTGAAAAGGGCCCTGCTTTTCCTGGCCCCGTGACAGTTTCATACTGAAAAGAGCAGGCTAGTCTCTTGCCTCTCAGAATAGCCAAGTCCGACAGACAGCTCGCATCTGTGTGTGTGTGTGTGTGTGTGTGTGTGTGTGTGTTTTTCTGTGTGTGTTCCTCATGACCAAAGCAGTGACCTTTCTTAAATCTATCCATTGTTTGGTTTCTCTTCCCAGATCGGTGAGAGGGCAGAATTTCTCAACAGATCAGCACAGAAGAGGTGATCACTTCTACTTTTACTCCCTGCAGACCTTTCATGAAAACATGTTATTCAACTTCAATGCACAAATGTGTCCAAAAGGATCCAAACAATAAGATTAATTACATCAATTAATAATCTGAAGTATTCAGAGTACTTTCGGGTTAAAAGAATGTTCTGCTTCCAAAACAAGTTAAGCTCTTTCAACATCATTTGTGGCACTTTGTTGATAACCACAGACAATTGTTGATTCGTCCCAGTTTATAAAAACAAGGATACATTCAATGACATTGGAACTGTTTACATTGTGAAAAATCCACAGGAATTCTGTTGTATATAACATAACCATTCACCTAGAACAGCAGCAGGACTATTTAGACAGCTTTACAGCCCATATAATTACTATTATTTAATAATATTAAAGATATTTAGCAAAAATAGGAGGTAATCTGTTTATCCATCCATCCATCACCAAATGCATCTATCTGAAATAACTTCTTGTTGAAGAAATATTAATATACTGTAAATATATGTCTCTCGTTCTGTCTGTCTATCTATCTATCTTTCTATTTGTCTGTCTATCAATCTGTCTATCTGTCTTTCTTCCTTTCTATCTATATATCTGTCTGTCTCTTTCTGTCTGTCTATCTATCTATCTGTGTCTGTCTGTCTATCAATCTATTTATCTATCAATCTGTCTGTCTGTCTGTCTATCTATCAATCTGCCTGTCTGTCTGTCCGTCTGTCAATCTGTTTGTCTGTCTATCAGTCTGTCTATTTATCTATCTATCAATCTGTCTGTCTGTCTGTCCATCTATCTGTCTCTCTTTCTGTCTGTCTGTCTATCTATCTATCTGTCTGTCTTCCTTTCTATCTATCTATCTGTCTGTCTGTCTATCTATCTGTCTTCCTTTCTATCTATCTATCTATCTATCTATCTATCTGTCAGTCTGTCTGTCTGTCTGTCGCAAACTATTTGTCACACATGAACTGTTCATTCATTTTAATTTGCCATCTATAATCTTTCATTGTGAAAGTGATGCTTATAAATACCAGCATGTGCTGATGTTTGTGTTTGTGTGTGTGTGTGTGTGTGTGTGTGTCAGTTCTGTAAAGGCGTCTCACAGTCCTGTGGTGTCTAAGATTGATAACCGATTAGAGCAGTACACCAGCGCAGTGCAGGTGAGTCCGACATCGTCCTCTCTCAAACTGAACACAAGCAAAAGATAAATCTAAATTAAACACAGGACACCAGAAGACAGCACAGCGTAATCTCTGCTCTTCTCTCCATTCAGAGCCACAAAGAGGTCAGATCTCCCAGATCAGCTGCCATAGATCTTCCCATGGTGACGGACGGTATTCGCAACATCAAGAGCATGTGGGAGAAGGGGAATGTCTTCAGCTCTGGTGGGAGCCCAGCGTCCACCAACAAGGTTTGTGATGTTCATTCACATTGAAGGGTGGTGAAGCAGACCCCACTTTTCCTCTTGGACCCATTTCCTGTCCAAAGTCACATTCTGAACTTAAAGGGAGTGTTTTGTTCCATCCCCTACAGGATGCAGCTGGGATAAAGGTGGGTGTGGCCGGCCGCATCAACGATTGGTTGAATAAAACTCCAGAGACGGGCAAGACATCAGGAGGAAGACCCGCGGTAAGTCTTTGACTCTGTCCATCACACTCGTGAGCTCTATGTGCATCACATCAGGGCGTGATGAGTCTTGTTATCTGGCGCCACCTAGTGGTACTGATTCAACCCAAAGGGGAGATAATACAGAGCTCTGAACTAAAACAGATGTTAAAGAAAACATTAGAAAGAGATTCATGGGAGCATTTGCGGAGTAATTTCTGATGTTTATATGTACATTTGACTATTTCTGTCATGTAATCACATAGAAGTGATTAAAGGAGTGGTTTTATTCAGGCTTTCTTACGTCCTGTCTGCTCCGGCATGCCTGCAATCCTTCATCACTGATTGGCTGTTTATTTTAAAACTCTGGCTTCATTGTTCAAATATGGATGTAATATGAAAAGAAGCTATAAATATATTTAAATGCACAAATCTGTGTTAACTTAGAAAAGAAGTCTAGTGCAGCAGTTCAGAGTTTGAACATTGATATGGGAATCAAAATCTGTCCATTTCACAGCGTGATTTCTCGACTGCCACAAATACTGCCAATATTACCCTAACAAAATACAGATTTGTGCACTTTTTACTGTACCTGTTTGTTTTTTTTTAACTGGCCTTTGAATTTAACCCTAATTGTGTGGTTAAAAAAAGCATTACCTTGCCAAAGCATTGACTGAGCTTTTTGATATAATGGTGTTGTTGAGCACTCCAAACGCAAACTTTACATGCAACAGTCAGACAGTAATTGACAGTACTCTGATCCAATGGCATATAGCAATTGTCAGATTGACAGTACTCTAGCCCAATAGTGTTGGGGGAACCAGTGGGAGCGGCAATTAATTTTTCAGGGTGGCCTTTACACACACCCCTGCTTAAATGTAGTGCCAGATATGCGCTCATTGGCGCCCTCTCCAGCTGACTGCACCCTATGCCTAAAAACGGCACCGAGTTTACTCCTCATTTACACTTGCCTATAGCATTTAACATAATGGACCTTTGACCTGTTGCTTAAGTGCAAAAACTCCGGGAGCACGCTGGTCACGCTATCCTTGCAGTTGACAGTTTACTACAACTATTTAATTTAAAACTCTGTTCACTGTTTATTTTAAAACTCTGGCTTCATTGTTCAAATATGGATGTAATATGAAAAGACCCCATTTTTCCTCTTAGACCCATTTATAAAGATAATGGACAAAATTGAATTGAGCATTTTTTTTAAATGACACTTTTGTTGTTGTTGTTTAATTAAGTTTTCAATTTTTTAGTTATTTATTTGCATTACTTTTTTGTTACATTAAATCCTTTTTATTTAATGATTGAATTCATTCAATTAAAAAATAAACTTTACAAAACATTATCATACCATAATTTCAAAATGCTACGATATGGCTCCAAATACTCCAAAATAAAACACACTGCTTCATAATTACTATAGTTTAAATGTCATATACGTGTCATATTTGTCGAGTAGCATTGTCTTCTGTCATATGGAACGGTGCAACTCACCTGTACCTTCACGTTTTTTTTGTCATTCTCTCTTTCTCTTCCACTGTTAGATTTCCCTTTGCTTCTTCCCCTGGGCTTCTTTCCTCTGCTCTCTGTTCTGCTCTCTCTCTCTCTGCCGAAGATCAGGTAAGACATGCAAATATCCCTCCCCTCCTCTGCCTTTAGGACACTGGCATCCTTTATGCCATTTCTCTCAGACTAACGTGCGTGTGTGTGTGGTTACATAAGCTGAGTAGTGATATTACACCCCCTTGCCCTCCTGCAGGACCTGAAACCGGGTGACGTGACCAGCAAACGCAATCTATGGGAAAACAAGGGGTCCTCTGCTACCAAGGTAACCAAACACAATTTTTTCTCAATCAGCCCGACTCGCTTTCTCTCTCTTAGTTATTTATACACATAACATTTTTCATATGCCCCTGGAGAATGAATTAATAAAGCACTTATTTGTCCAAACAACAGGCTGTGGGTTTTTATAACCCTTCAGGCATGCCATTAGGACTTTGGAGACAGTTACAGTCATAACACCCGCACTAGCATGATATCTGCAGTATAATCGCGGAGAATAACATTGCCATAACGTTGCCTGTGTGTTTTGTGTTTTAAGCCATCCCCATGCTAATTGTCTACAGATCTGACCACCTTGAGGAGGTAAATGTTATTCTATCGCACAGAAATGCACAGTGTTTGATGAGCCACACTTAATGCATTTATCACAGGATGGCTTAGGACCTGGCTTTTTTTCATTTCTTCACAGAGCTTCTCTCGCACTTTCACTCACTGCCACGAGAGCAGGTGGTTGGTTTGCAGGAAGAAGGTGCTTTAAAGTCACCAAGAGTAACTACTGTGGCACTAATTGACTTTTCATTATGCTCCGCCCACCTCAGCTTCCATTGCTCGCTCAGAAAAGTGGTCTAACGTGTCTAACTGGAACTGGAGATTTTCAGGAAACAATGAGATTGTTCAGTAGAATGTGCTCATGGAAGTGGAAAAAGTGTGATACTGCAAAGCATCCTGTATATGCCACTTTGTATATAACATTGCAAGTTTTGCAAGTGAAAACCTTAAATAAATTATATAATTATGCAGTCATGTGAACAAAAACTATGGAGACTGTGAATCAGAATCGGTTACGACAGTAAACACAGTAAATTGAAAAGAGAAAAGCCTCTTTTATAACATTTTTGTAACAAATTTAATAGCTCACAATGGTACTGTGAACTTATTAGTCACTTGCATCTGCTATGACCTGAATCAATATGTAAATTAATTAACATTGATTTACCCTCAAGCAAATGTAGGTCAAGATTTATTTAAACATTGGGAAAAGGAAAAAATTATGGGTGGCTTGTGTCACTATTATAAGTGACTTGGCAAGTATTTTTGAACAAATTATTTAAATATTTAAAAAAATAATAATAAATATTTAAAATTAAATATATAATTTAAATATAATAAACAGGACTTCCACAGACACTTATTAAAAATAAGCAAAATCTTGTCGGATTGGTCAGCAGGGCGGAGCTTAGCGAAGGATCAATTTCATTCTCTCCTCTCTCTTCCATTCCCTCTTTTTCCCGTCACACATGGGTTTAACACCCATCACCCCTTAACAAAGCACTCTGCCTATTGTGAGAAGATCTATTTTAACGCCGACATGACTGGGATCCAGTTGACCAAACATGGCGGTCGTGCACACACACACACACACACACACACACACAGACAGACGCTCACACATCACGAATAGAAACAAATTCGAAGACAGACGCTCACACATCACGAATAGAAACCAATTCGAGTCGATCCCATCGTCTGAACCTGAAAAGCCATTCCCATGAGTGCTGGCCTTCATATTTTTATATCCACAGATCAAACAGATAATAATGGTAGTCATTCGGAGTGGGCGGCTCTTTCTTTGGAACGGGCACAATAGAATCTACTTCTGGACTGTCAGCGAGGCGTCAAGATCAGGCCAAGGCCGCGGGTTAGCCACAGACTGCAGTTCTGGCCCCGATCACTTAAAGGGCTGGTAAATGGTGACGTAAAAAGCCTAATGAAGGGAAATCTGTGGTCATAACCGCGCTGATGTTACCAAAGCCAGCAGTGCTGTTTGGTCAGCAGTGGAAGGAATGAGGGTTTCACTTGTATGTGAATCTGGAAAAAGAGCGCTGTATGAAACCATGCTAAGCATGTTCCTGTCATTGTACACGCAGCATGTCGGCCACAAGCACTTTCACTGATGACTTTTTGGCGCACACAGGCACAAAAGAAGTATGTTAAAATGTGAAGGCATAAGTGGAATAGCAGACGGTTGGGCTGGGAAGGGCTCAGCCACACTGATTAGCACATTAGCTTGTGTTTATGTTAATCTTATTCTTTCTCTCTGTTTCTTTTTCTCTTTCTCTCGTTTTCCATCGATTTATACCTCACCCAGGTCACAAGCAGAGGAGAGACCAAATCTGTCACCAATGGTAAGTGATGACAAAATAATATTTGTCGTATTTGTGTAACGCAGTCTTCAATGTCCAACGGAAAGCAATTTGTCAATTCAAAACTGCTGAGCGTTGTGACACAATCACATGCAATTAGAATGTATTTGATGTTTCATATCCATTTATGACGAGCAAGGTTTTGGACCAGTAAGATTTCACAGTGGGCGGGGCTGCCAAGTGATTTCGCCACTGAAATGGACCCTTTTCAGCGACTATGATAATGTGTTTCCATAGTTAATACTCTTAAAACATCTTAATTCGCTCTTCTACAAATTAAGGCCTAAAACAGTCTTGAAAAGGAAAGTCCTAAATTCGTAAAGTCATGGCATTAAATGTTGCATGCATGCATGCCCTGCAGAAAATTATATCTTTCTCAGTATTTTTGTTTTGTTTTCCAATACAAATATCTAAATATTCGTAAGTCAAGATACATTTAGATGCGAACTGAACATATGAAGTCTTGTTTTCTGAGATATTGTATAATATTAAGTGAGTTAATGGTTAAAACAAGAAGAAACATCTGTCGACTGGTTATGAAAACTTGTTTCCCCTTTGTTTGAATCAAGTTGATTTTTCTGAGCACATTGGTAGATATTTTTTCTTTTTTAATTATAACTCATTTCATTTTGATCAATTTATCGTAAAACAAGACTTCTTGTGTGTTTTTATTCATCAAGTAAATGTATCTTGATTTAAGATTCAGTTTGCAAACAAGATTAAAGGAAATACTGAGGAAGACATCCCTTTTTTGCAGCATGATCAGAAGGTACAGTAAAATATATTATATCAGTCTTTAAATGCAAGATGTTTAAAGTGTACCTGAACTATACTTGCAATAGTTCCACTTTAGCAAAATCAGTGATGTCAGAATGAAGTCCTGCTGTGAAGGGCAGTTTCCGCCATATTGCACAACACCCACAATCCCTCAACCAGAAATCCCTGCCAATGATAAATCATCGCTGCAGAGACGTCGTTCACCGGCTGCAGCATTTTAAAATGCCTCTTTGGCATTGTTTTCTATTTTGAATGCCGGCCATTTGTTCCTCTAGAAGAGGCCGCGGTGGCCTTCAGGCGTGCCAAGTGGTAATGGCCGACTCCCCCACCCAGCTCTGCTCGTCTCAATATCAGGCCGTGGATTCTGGGCGTCTGTCAGTGCCAGCAGGGCTAAAGCTGCATGTTTGTCACATTACTGCATGGGGCGGTAGAAGATTAGCGCGCCCGCATGCCGTATAGAGATGTCATGAAAACTTAAATCCTTCCAACCACTTAAAAATGGTCGGACGCCACACATTTAAGAGATTCTTTGAGCTGTTTTTAGCTCTGGAGCACAAGAAATAAAAGGTTGTAGATCACAAATACACACAGCTAAGTGTACAAAGATTTTTAATTGTCTCAAAAATGAATTGGCTTAAAGGGGTCATATGATGTTGCTAAAAAGAACATTATTTTGTGTATTTGGTGTAATGCAATGTGTTTATGCGGTTTAAGGTTCAAAAAACATTTTCCACATACTGTACATTATTGTTTCTCCTCTATGCCCCGCCTTTCTAAAACACGTCGATTTTTACAAAGCTCGTCGGTCAGAAAAGCGAGGTGTGCTCTGATTGGCCAGCTATCCAGTGCGTTGTGATTGGCCGAATACCTCAAGCGTGTGAC